AGGATAGGAAGGAAAAAAGTCAAATTCAGACAGCATATTAAGAATGAGTCTTCAAGGCATGTGAGCCGAACATTTACATTAGGCAGATATACTACTCCTTGGAGAGAACAATCATGGGAGAATAGAAGGGCTGTGTATGCACAGGGAGACAGTCGAGGGGCAGGAGTGCATGAGAGGGAAGGATACAGGGAAGAGGTAAGTAACTATGAGGAGGAAGTGGGAAGAAATCTGTTGACTGTGGGAAATTCGAGTCAATGTCATGAGACAAAGTGTATGTCAACTACTATATGGAAAATGAATTTGCTCTGTAAACTTTCACCCAAATCACAATAAAAACTAAACTAAAATTTAAAAAAAGATGTAGGATCTTCCTTTGATAGCAAAAAGGAATCCACATAATTGAACTGTAAACAAAGTACTGACTTACAAAGACACGAAGAATTTTCCCTTGCTTTAGATATTTAATTTTTCACCCTTTGCATCTAATTCAATTCACTCTTGTGCAATGTTCCATCTTGGAACATATCTATATCTGAAACATGGGGGAATTATTTCTCTTACCACATTAGTATATGGAGATAACATGATCTAAAAGGAGGAACAGTTTGGGATCAAAAAATTCAATATTCTGGCTTCTGGATTTAAAAAAAATGAATGAGTCTTCATTCATACAAAGAGAGGAAGGAAGAGGAGGATTCTTTTACTCTTCTAGTGCTCAGAGGGGAAAGAATTTTCAAAAGTATGAATTTGTACAACCAATAAAGTATAGAATTAGTACTAGGCAGTGAGTAAGGCATTAACTGGAATGCTGTGTATGCTGGGCAGAACTTGGTTGAATCAGCCCAGAAACAAATACACATTGAGTAATTAACACATGCAAAACATTGTCCCCCTTTGAGGACACAAAATTCTATGCTTTTACATTGTCAAGTCATAAATCAAAATTATGAAAACTAAGGAGAACAGAAGCAGATAAGAAGGGACAATGATATCCACAGACTCTAATAATTAATGTTGGGCAATCCTACTTCTGTAGTGATACTGCCTTGGAAACCCAAGGAGGGGTCGCTATGAGTCAGGGCCGACTTGACGGCAAATAACAACAACAACAACAACTAATAATTAATGAGACAGAATGAACTGAAATAGGCACAGCAATAGCAGTGAATCTTATTTTTAGCTCAAACATTAGGCAATATCATTACAAGCAAAATTAAGGCTGGTAACAGGCTGCCAAAACCATTCAGAAATTGCCAATGCTGGAGAGATCATTGGAGACTTCACCAAGTAAAGCACAGACAAGGACAGCCTGAAGATTACTAACCTACTGCTTCAAGGATGAGAGGGTCAAGGCCTTGCAAAGATTGTTCTACAATCACCACAAACCTAAATTCTCAAAAGCATTTACCTGAAATTGTTTTCTAAAACTAAACTTCTGTTCTAGAAACATAAAGAAAAAGTATCACTACAATGGAGTTATATACCTGTACATATAATACTAGTGCTTTTAAAAATAACAGACATATTAAATTTAGGGAAAACAATCAAAATAATTTGCTTTGCAATAGTAAGTGGACCAAACTGCAAAGTACTCATTTTAACAGAGAACGAAATTTCTTCAAATCAGTCAATTCCTTAAAGTTAAATTAGAATAGGTAATAAATGACAAACACTCTGTTTAGAATAGAGGAACTGCCCCTTAGTGACACTGTAGTAGCAAGTGAAAACAGCAGAATGTAAATACTTCATGATCCCACTAATACACAATTATCAACACACATACAATTATCTGAAGAATGACCATCTAATGTCATAGTGGAAATATCTGGTGGTGTGATTTAGGATGTTTACTTTCAACTCTATGGCTTCTGTTTTATTTTTCCTATCAGAACAAAACTATGAAGCTCAAGATCCACACTGCTGGATTCAAATCTCAGCTTCATGGGTTATCAATTGTGTAATCTTGAACAAGTTACTTACCACTCTGTCCCTCAGTGTCCTCATCTATAAACGAGGATAATACAGGCAGTGCTTGGATTATGAACAAGTTCCATTCCTAAATCGGTCTTCAAGTTGAATTTGTACGAGTCAGAACAGTTAGGTACTGTTTGTACCTAACATCAGTTAGTCAAATATTTGTCTTAGTATAAAGTATGTTGTTGTTGTTGTTGTTATGTGCCGTCGAGTCAAACCCGACTCATAGCGACCCCTCCTTGGGTTTCCGAGGCAGTATCACTACGGAAGTAGGATTGCCCAACCTTCCTTCCGAGGAGTGGCTGGTGGGTTTGAACCGCCAGCCGTCTGGTTAGCAGGCAAGTGTCTTAGCCACTATGCTACCAGAGCTCCCATAAAGTATGTAGTATGTATGTAGTATGTATATAATATAAAGGAGCTCGGGTAGCACAATGCCTGAGGCATATGACTGCTAACCAGAAGGTAGGTGGTTCAAACCCACCAGCCACTCCACAGGAGCAACACTGGGCAATCTACTTCTGTAAAGATTTACTGCCTCAGAAACCCAATGGGGTCACTATGAGTCAAAATTGACTCGATGGCAGTGGTTTTTTGTTTTTTTTTGTTTTTTTTAGTATATAGTGTGTACCTTTTCTATGCATAAAAAAATAAATACTTCCAGATACACCAAATATCCTTAACATAACAGTAAAGTAATAATGATAGCCATGTTTTGCTGCACATTGCAAAGCAGCATCTGTATATTATTAGGACCTGCAGTCTATACCTCAAATTTTTAATATAATAGCCTTTATGGGTGTTACTTCATAACTACAGGTTGTACATAAGTTGCACATTCATAAACTGAGACTGCCTATAATTAGCCCTTTCTCATAGTGTTGTTAAGAGGAGTATAATACATATAAGGCACTCGGAACAGTAATGGAACACAGGATGCATTCAAGAAACACTAGTTGGTAATATTGGTGCTATAAGCCAGCTATTTGCAAAACTGATATACACCCACTCCTCACTTATTATCATGACTAAGTTCCCAAAACAATGTCATTATGCAAGAATTGGTGTTATGCAAAAATGGAGAATGACCATATCAGATCACAAAATGGAGAGCAACTACATCATTACATAGCTGCTAATTACGTCATTACAGACCAAACCACTGAGAATCACAGTCAAGTTGACACACAACCTTAACCATCACAGCCAGCATTATTACTCTTACTTCACACCTCAGCATTTGTTATTGCCAGATGTACATCATTAATGCACAAAACAGTCAGAAAGTAGATTTTTTACTATCGTCATAAATGCAAAATGTCAGATAATGAGATCATTGATAAGTGAAAAGCAGGTGTGTTATGTTCATTAAAAGCAGATGAAAAGCAGCTATTTTGTGGCCAAAAGTAAAAAGGGGAGCAAGAAATCTCTCTGCATAAGTCTAAACAAACAAACAAAAAAACTCACACAAACAAAAAAACTAGCACAACTACAAGAAGATCAACTGCAAGAATGTCAAGAAGTGTAATTCCTTAACAGACATTTTCTTCTTCGAATCTGTCATTTCATTTCCAAAGGAATTAGCACACAAGGCTGGTGGACCCAGTTAAAAAGCTGCTCCAGGCAGTGACTTCATGTGTGAAAAAGTCTGTCTTTAAATTTAGTAGCAAAATAGGAGACATTGTAATAAGGTGACCATCTGTAGGCTAGAAGATTTATCCTATTAAAAAAAAATCTTTAAGAGGGCTTAATCTGCAAACACTTAAATGCTTTTTACAAAGTTTTAGAAGGAAGTTTATATGAAATGAAAATTATATATAAGCCAACACATGATTACTTTGGAGCTGATAATTAAAATTATGAATTATCCTGAATTATAAATTATTCTGATTCTCTCTTCTTTGAGAGACAGACAAGAAAAAGAACCACTAAATGAATTAAACAGCGTATTAGAAGGTTAGAAGGTGATGAAGAAAAATGAGGCAGGCTAGGAGGAAGATAGGAAGTAGTAAAGCAGGATGGGGAAAGAAGGAAATGCTGAAATTCTAAAAAGGTAGCTAGAGAAAGTAGCATTTGAGTTTGCATTAGATGAGGGGAAATTCAACTAATTCTATGTAGTTATCAGCTCTGATAAAAGTTTTGATGAGCCTGAAAGCTCCTGGTGAAGAAAAATGAGTTTGGACTTGTTTCCAAAGGACGTTTTGTGTTAGTTGGACAGGAAAGTGTTAGTTATCTATGTGCTTCATTTAACCTAGTCATTCCTCTCATTCTGATAATACCCACCCCAGTTACACAAATGCCCTGTTATAGACAGTTTGTATTGGTATGCATTATTTTACTTTCTAAAATCTGAAGACACGAGTTTCTTACATAAATACCTTCTCCATAAATATTTCCAACAAATAAAAAGAATGAAGAACAAGAGCAAAGTCATTTGTTGTTTCAGGTAATACAACATCCATTCCCTTATCCAAGATTTTCCTTGGAGACTTTGAATTATTGTGGTCCAGGTGGAGTTGATACCACCTCCTACCTTTAAGGTTCAGCATACTACCCATTTGCACCCATGTGAAGCACCAAATCCCCTTGAACCCTGAACAGCATTAAGTTCAAGAGTGAACACATGACCCAAACCAGGTCAATGAGAAACCACAAGTGCTGATAGTTGCACTACAACATGTGGGAAAGAGGTATACTCCTTTGTGGCATTGCTAACGTGGCAGAACGCAGCCTAGAGCCACTCATGGAGCCATTCTTTTCACCCTTAGGGTGAGGGGGAAGAGAGCCTGCTTAAAATGGAGCCAACCTAGGGGTAAGCAAGCAAAGAGATAGGAATAAAGAGAGACAGAAAATGGACCCTCAGGATTTGAACTCAGTCTTGCCTCAAGATGAGTACCACTTGGATTTTCACATAGCTGGAAATATACTTCCTTTTTTACTTAAATTATTTCAAGCTGGGTTTCTATCATTTGCAAACAATACTCTTGCCTAACATAAAGAGACTTTCAGAAACATCAGCATGTACTTACCCGTTCCTGGCCAGCAGTGTCCCAGATGAGGAATTTATGAAGTTCATTTCCACAAGGCACAGTTTTAGTCATAAAAGACGCTCTGAAAAATAGTCAACAGCTCCATGTTACTAATTACTCCCTCTAATCATCACAAAGATTCACATTTCAAACAAGTTAACTTTATGCCTCAGCAGGACTCCCAATGCTTTTACTCTCAGAGAAAGAAGGACTGATAGAGTCATGTTACCCAAAAGAAAATATCTAGATTTTCTGTTAGTCCCACTGGAGGTTTAGGGAAAAAAGCAAAGGAAGTATTTAGAAAACTTATCTCTAAATACTTTAATCATTCTAAGATAATACTCCCATATCTCAGGAAAGAATATAATTGTGGTGCAGTGACTTTCTTAATTTGGTGCTTCCAGCCATAGTCTTTGCAACTCCCACCAAATGACCGGGTGAGATTATACAAATGTGAGGTGCTTGTGGCCCACCAAGGGGACTTGGTAGCTTGCTCATAATGTAAATAAGGTACATGGCACCCTTGTAGAGGCAGGACCATGCAAATAAGGTAAAAAAAAAAAAAAACCTCACTGCCGTTGAGTCAGATATAACTCTTAGCAACACCTCCTTGGGTTTCAAGGCAGTATCACTACAGCAGTAGATTGCCCAATCTTCCTTCCGAAGAGTAGCTGGTGGGTTTGAACTGCCAGCCTTCTGGTTAGCAGTCAAATGCCTTAGGCACTACGCTATGGGGCCCTAATATGGAGATGAGTCTGTTTTGACATGCCACTAGGTTTAAAATGAGCCATCCCAGAGGCAGAAAGAGGAGCTCTCACTATCATGAAGAAAAAAGAACATGGAATAGAGCAGATCCTTTGAACCTGAGATCCTTGCACTGAACCTCCTTGACCCAGAAGACAGAGAGAGAGAGCTATAACACTTTAGTGAGATGGCAAGAGGCAGCTGCAGAGAAACAGCAGCTGCAGCAGAACCAGGAGACCTAGGCAGGAGACACTGCAGTGGGCTTCCAGATCATGGAGTGGAAAAAGCTGAGCGCCTAAAGTTGAGGCTTATTGGCAGACTGGAATGCCTCTGGGCATTTATTGGCACAGCTAAAAGAGCTTTGTAACACTTAACTGAGTAGGGCAGAGGCCAAGAGGCCCAAGAGACCGAGGGCCAGATATAGGCATGCCTATGGGCACTGCAGTAAAAAAAGCCATCCTGATCAAAAGCTGTATTCTGAGTCATTTCTGATCTTAAATTGTAACCTGTTTTTTCCCTAATAAGCCCCATAATTGTTAGTATTGTCTGAGTTTTGCAGGGCCACTGCAACAAATTATTCAACCCAGCCAGCAGAGAAGTAGAGAGTGCCAGAGGAGGGATGGGCTGGGGTCAGAATCAGTGAGAAGGTTGGAGGGTGGAAGCATGTTTGACCTCTGCCTCACAGGAATCAGCCTTGAGCTGCTGATATTGATGTTGATCCACCTCCCTCCCTTGTGAAATTGGAAGAGATCAGACGATAACTGCTCCACACCATTTCTACAATAACCTTAGATTTTAAAAAGTTATTACAACAATTAAGAGTGAAAAGGACAGCTAGTATGTTGGCATATTCTGCTTTTGGCTTTGTTGTTGTTATCATTATTAGGTGCCACTGAGGTATCTCCAACTCATAGTGACCTTATATACAACAGAACAAAACACTACCCAGTGCTGTGCCAGCCTCACAATCCCTGCTATACCTGAGCCCATCACTGCAACCACTGGGTTGATCTATCTCATTGAGGGCCTTCCCTTTTTCGTTGACCCTCCACTTTACCAGGTGTGATATCCTTCTCCATAGAACAGTCCCTTCTGACAGCATGACCAAAGTAGGTGAGATGAAGTCTGGCCATTCTTGCCTCTAAGGAGCATTCTGGCTGCACTTCTTCCAGGACAGATTTGTTAGTTCTTTTAGCAGTCCATGATACTTCCAGTATTCTTTGCCAACACCACAACTCAAAAGCATCAACTCTTCTTTGGTCTTCCTTATTGTCCAGGTCCCATGTGCATATGAGGCAACTGAAAATACCACGGCTTGGGTTAGATGCACCTTAGTCCTCAAGGAAACATCTTTGCTCTTCAGCACTTGAAAGAGGTCTTCTGCAGCAGATTTGCCCAATGCAGTACAGCTTCTGATGTCCTGACTGCTGCTTCCATTGGCGTTGACTGTAGAACAAGTAATATGAAGTCTTTGACAACTTCAATCTTTTCTCTGTTTATCATACTACTTATTGGTCCATTTGTGAGGATTTTTGTTTTCTTTATATTGTGGTAGGAGCTCTGGTAGCATAGTGCCTAAGGCACTTGACTGCTAACCGGAAGGCTGGCGGTTCAAACCCACCAGCCACTCCTCGGAAGGAAGGTTGGGCAATCTACTTCCGTAGTGATAACTGCCTCGGAAACCCAAGGAGGGATCACTATGAGTTGGGTTCGACTCGACGGCACATAACAACAACAACAAGCCATACTGCAGACTATAGTCCTCAATCTTCATCAGTAAGCGTTTCAAGTTGAAAATCAACTTTCAGCAAGCAAAGCTGTGTCATTTTCTTATCATGGGTTGTTGATCAGTCTTCCTCCAATTCTAATGCCACACTCTTCTTCATATAGTCCAGCTTCTTGGAGTCTCAGTTTTGGCTTTAGAATGACACAAATAGAATACTGCCTTACATATTCACCTATGTAGATAATGAAACCAACAATTAAAGCAATTAGTAGAATACTATAATTCCTAACCTACTTCTATAAATGCAGGGATAAAGACTGGCAATTGGACAAATGTTTATGTTTTTTAAAGGATTTGAAATTCTCAGAAGATAATGAAACACTTGATGACATTTTATTTCTTGTATAAAACCAAAAAACCAAACCTACTGCCATCAAGTCAATTCCAAATCATTGTGGCTATACAGGAAAGAGTAGAACTCCCAACAAGGTTTCCAAGGCTGTAAATCTTTACAGAAGCAGACTGGCATGGAGCAGCTGGGGGTTCAAACAGCTAACCTTTCAGTTGGCAGTGAAGTACTTAACCACCGCACCAACAGGGCTCCTTATTTTTGTCTTTTGTGTTCATAAAAGATGCAAAAAGTCCAATAAAAGAAATTAATACCCTTCACTTTTCATCTGTGTGATAAAAACCAAAAAAAAAAAAAAAAAAAAA